AAATACACTTGACGAAAGAGGCATCTTAGGACGACAAAAATTTAAGAAGTGTCCATTGACATCTATCGATACTCCTCTTTTAATATCTTGCTTCGTGTTTCACTTTTCATTCACTTGCCTCATTCCAATTCTTTATCTCTCGCTTCATTGCTTCACTTCGTTGATATTTTACTATCTTAATTCATATCCACTTTCCGAGCTCTGGATATCTTCAATCTCTTGCTTCATATATCGACTTGGTACTCTGAACTAGTCTTCAATCCTCGAAACCTCTGATCATACGATTTCTTCATTTTTTTATCTTTCGTATCCCATGAGGGTTTGGACTATTACAAGTTATCCCACTTCGTGATTTCGTATCAATCAGAAATGGATCCGGTCACTCTCATATAAATGGTCGTTTTTTGAGCTATGAGACTGGCAATTTTGCTTGCACGCCGTTCTATCAATTCTCTCAAGTTATCATTCAACTTGCGATGAAACGTCCGAGCTCTGGGTGCAAAGATGCGCCGTAATTTACTCTCAAGGAGTTGAATCCGATTCTCAGTTTTTTTATTCGACATCTCTCTTGTACCTCTCAAATAGCGAAGACCGACTTAGGCATTCGCAGACCTATCCTTTCCCCAATTTCTTCTCGATGGATCACTCTCAAGTGGCTCTCCTACGTCTTCTCCCAATCGACCAATCACTCGCTTGAGATGATTGTTATAACTTCTCTGACACTCTGGGGCACTTCGCCCTACCCAGGAAACGTGTAGATTGCGACAGGCAGCTGATTCGCAGGAGGACGCCGACTTTGTAAATAATCTGGCACGGCCAAACATAATCATCCATCCCCTTGATTGATCATGATCTCATGTCATTCATATCAAAGACCACGAAAACAATGGGTGGAGCGGTTCAATCCGAGTTCTTTGACCTCGAGTCCTGTCGTCGTCTCGTTGGACATAGTGGAAGCGATTGCAGTCGTCAGTTTGTCAATCACTAGGGTTTCTTCGACGGCTTTGGATTTAGGACAAGCCCGTTGCTGGGGTATGCCAAGATAAAGTCTGTCAAGCAACACAACCGGCTTGTTTTCGATGGACACAAGCGAAGTGCAACGTAAGCCAGATTCATTTCACTCATATTGGCCACAATATACATGTGGAAGGGCACTAATACAAGCCAATGTGTTTCTCAACCCACTACCTTCAGTCACGGGGATACATTTGTTGTGCTTTTTCTTTCTGGTCAACACAGTTCGGCTTCAAGAGCTATCACTCGAAGAAGCATAAGGCTTTGACAGGGTTCATGTCGGAAGACTCTAATTTTTCCGCTTGACATCCTGTTCCATTTCGAAAACGAAGAATAACGCTGATAATGGTTTACATCGTCTTCGCACCCAGATTCAGGGGCTTGAAGGTTTTGATCTGCGAGATAGATGCCCTAGACGTCCGACTGCACTCGATTGTTTTTTTTTGATCTCAATTATTTGGTGATCCCGCAAATTAATTTATCAATGCCTCGACAGACGATGGACAAGCGGTTATGATTGATATATGAGGTGACTTGTTCGAATAAATGATAGATTTCAGTCGCAGTCAGATTCATACGAGGCTTCGAGGAGACCGCACTTGAATGCTTAAAAGTTAAGAGTCATCAAAGAGTCAAGCAGCCGACGGCTGGCTCTCGAGTCTCGAACTATGGCATCAATTTTTTCTCACTCAAATTCTCAAGTCTTCGGAAACTTGGTGGGTGCTATTCAACATGACATGTATTTAAGCCAGCTTTCTTAATCTCAAGCTACATACCATGACTGAATTTGACCCCTTTTCACGCCTATTCACGATGCTTAATCTGCCAACAGGACCCGAAGATTGTCCAGGTTGGTCCAAGACCATGAATTATGAATGTGGTACCGCGCCATCATCAAAGCTTATATTATCTAGGCGATTTTCACGACTAGTTACATTTGTAAAATGACATCAACAAAACACCTAAGCAAAATAGAGCTTGATAGAGGTGACATAGAAAACAAATGGTATATCTTATTTGTAAGAGTTTGAATTCAGCGTCTCAAAGGTGCATCTTTTTGAAGTTTTTCATTCATAGGATTCTCAACTCGGAGTCTCAGAGAGGAACCCATCGAAGATCACTGGAAGCATGTGTGATAGCCAAACATATGAAGAGAATGAAAAGAAAAGGGCGAATTTTTAGCCAGACATGATAGGTAAAAGGTTTTGTTCTTCCGATTGTAGTCGAAATTCCAAGCAACCATCGAGAAGAATGACACTAATGAACGCACTGACAAGTCAAAAAAGATGCCATCTGAGGCATTTGAAATCAATCACCATACCACGTATGGTCGATTGATATTCGCAATCTGTATTTGCGTAAAGAAAAAGAAGTTCAAAGGATTGGAAAACATGAGTTACTTCATACTTTTGAAACAAAAACTGGATCTGATTACTGTCTTGATCGACTGATATTTTTCCCCAGAAACAGACACAGCTGAATGGTCAAGGTTTAAATAAATTTTGAAGAAGTCATTGGTTAGGGAACCTTGCGAATCACCGATATTTACCATCGTGACGTCGGTGTTATTCTTTTCAATATAGACAAGCTAGTTCCATGTTGATGACCAAAATTTTTTGGATTACGCAGGGAATGTTTTACTGGACTGGTAATGACCAAAGGTCTATATAGTTTCAATAAGTTTATAATACTTGATACTTTTACCTTCTTTTCTCCTTTTCGGTTTACTCAAGTTATCACCAGCCAACACGAATTTTCCCTGTTTACTTTGTTCAAATTGGCACCCGAAGCCGGAGAAGACCATCCATTATGAACCTGATACCAAGTCCAAGCTGCTTGGATCACACCACCTAGTAACTCACAAGACGGCTACTTCAATGGAGGGTCGACATATCTGACCGGATGACTTAATCGAGGCTTAAGGATTCGGAGAGACTTTCATGGAGACTTCCTTAAGTCACTCCCACTGCGAAAGACGAAGAGTACCTTCAACTTACATATGTAGTCAGTATGAATACTGAAAGTGAAGGGGATAAGCAGTTACGCAACTCACGAACTTGCATCGCCTCAATTAAGGCTGGCTACCACTCCTACAAGCTTAAAGTCTCCTACTATTCGAGCCAATATGGAATGCCCTTTCAATTCACCAGACCCAACGTAGACTGGATGGTCCAGTAGATTTGGCTTCATAAGCATCCGCAAAAGTCTCCTTCACACGATGACCATGAAATCGAGTGCTGAAATAGTCATCTTTCCCCCTACTGACCACAATATAAATACTGCCCCATCAGTTTGCTTTTCTGTTCCTCATCCACCCCACTTTCTCCAAAAACATCTTGAATTATAACTCGTAAACATTCGTCTAATCTGCTACTCGATTTCAATTCAATCTTTATTATTCTACACAATCAACAATCCTTGCAAAAACATGGAAATCGCTTACCCAATGTTTGAGAAAGACAGCAGGGATCATACTATGGTCGAAATAGGTGAATCTCAAGATTCCCAAACCATTTGTTTCTGCGAAATCGTTTTTCAAACCTCAAACATTCATTAATTTTTTAATCTTTCTCTTTCTTAGGGTCTATATTAGTCGATCACGAGGGTAATCAGATGCAGTAGTTTCACCGAGAAGTAAATCTTTTCTGAGACTTCAACTTTTTTTTGTTTACGAGAATATAGACTACGATTATCGATCCAGCATTTGTGGTATAGTCATCGATCCTAAATGGGCTTGGGTGGCATTTTTCTTTAGTTGTCAGTCATTTGATAAGTTAACTTCTCTTTGGATATTTGCTGAAGGTTCTGACTATCATCGGTTTCACAAAAACTTTTGATTGCCTATTACTTCTGGGTAACCAGTCACCCTTTTCATTTTATTCTCTACGTTTGTTTGCATATCACACATGTTACCAGGGATCTTCCACAATTTATTCTCTGCGGCTTGAGAATCTCATGAACGAGAAATAGTCAATAAATAGTGGTGCCAATATGTCGAAATCAATTTCAACTGTTACTCATCACATATCGTTTATTTCATGTGTCTCTATTGATCCCTAGCCACATACGACGATTTTTTTTGTTCAGTTGATAGTCTTGTTTTCTGTTTCATTTCACCTTGCCTCTCAAAAAACCCGCGAAAACTCAAAAAAATCTTGGCTGTGATCGTTTTTAATTACTTTCTTAAATTCTTCCAAAAGATATATGTATGTGCACAGAAACTCTAAAAAATTTTC